TTGGTGCAGGAGATAATGTTCCGGACGGAGGACTTGGTGCAGGAGACTAAGGGGAAAAGGGTTTTGCACCCTGTGCAAGAGCGACATACACGGTGCGACGAACTTTCGTCCTACCGCAGTGTATATATATATATGTGTCAGTTCATACCACGACAGGCACACGAGGGCCCGGCTCAGACGGCTCGGCTTGATCGGCAGGTGAAGAGCTTTGCTTGTCCTTACCAACTCAGCTTGCGCAGTCTCCAATGGAATGGGCGGACACAGGTCTGTCGACAGGCGAGGTCAACATAGGGCTTCGGTGCTAGGGTGCACATGCCGGCTTCGTTAATTAGCGGCCGAGCATTGCCATCACCGACTGTGGCACCCACGCAAACACTGCGACAGCCGTCAACTGACCGACACACAGTGCTGCGTCCTCACTGTCGAACGAACTGAACATCCGCCTGACAGGCAGGCTCGCCGTCCAACCGACCCTCGTTCAGCTCCAAACCATCCCCCGGCCGCCCCGGCCTTGCCAGGCCCAACATCTCCTGTGCTCAGGGTCGCCAGATCCGTGATCGGACTCAGGGTAACGACGCAACAAACCACTGTAAGTATTCCGCACGACATGAAGACAGTGCAGCATGTTGCCGGAGCAACACAGCAGCCCGCTGCAGCAAGCTCCAGTGCCGATGCCCACTGGCCCACAAGCCCTTGACTCCCAAGACTTGTCAAAGCTCCTGGCCTATATCTGCTCTGACTCTGCCAGTGGAGGAGCGCGGATTCTCTGTCGCTGCTCCAATCCTCTGGGTCAGGTGTTTTCGCTTGAGCCGGCGAAAGCTGCGGGGAGTCTCATATGACGAACACAAGACTAAAGAAAGCTGCCATGCGAGAATTCGACTGACATGCAACGGAATAGATTGCCATGTTCAAATGCAGCGCTGAGCGCCATACTTTATGCAATTTAGGTCACCATCTCCAACTGCTGCCCAAATAAAGCTTCTTTTCACGTACAGTGTTTCAAAGTGGGATCTCGTTAGAGGGTAGGCCGGGCATAGCAATGCCAATGCTTAGCCACCTCCTGTTAACTGCGGCCCCTTATCTCGCACACTCAATAGAAAGCAACAATAGCATGCAGCCATGTTCACCGTAGTCACACTCACTGTAAGATCGCTCCAGGATCGAAGCTGAAGCCACACAGGACACCGGGCCAGGCACTCTGTGGGTCCGCGGCCCATGCACACGCGCGCTGCAGGGCTTAGAAGTTTATGTGGCTCGAACTAGCCCTTGGGTAGGCTGGCAAGCTACCTCGTACGCAGTGGAGAGGCTGGGGAATCCAGCTTCGGCTGCATTGATCGATTGGCTCCAGCTGCGGCGGCACACGAGCAATTCGCAAGACAGACCATGCAGCAAGGTCTCAGGCGATCGGGCCGGTGACAAGCCCCTCGAAGGCTCGAAGCGCAGGTGCCTTTTTTCCGGACATCAGGCCGCGGAGGCCTCTCGAGGCCCTGTACAGCCGGCCTCATGGTAGGTCTTTGATACACTGAGCCCTTTTGGATCCAGGATCTGCTGTGGCCGATGGCCTTCTGGCACTCTTTCGGAGCTTGGAGGCCTCAAGCTTGCAAATCGGAATCATGCAACCAGAAGCCGGGTGCCGCGCTGGCACCGCAGCTGACCGAACAGATCCAAGGAGGGCAATACCCAGCTCTACAAGCCTCGAACAAGAAGTGAAGTAATTCGATCAAGATCCTTCGCCGGCCATGCTGGAATGCTGAAGGCCCAGGTGCGATTGCGGCAACCGGCAAGAATCAAAACTCAGTGAGACTCGAGGGCTCCCCAACTTGGAATGCCCTCCTAAGCCGAGAGCATGCTCGCAAGGTGCGTTAACTGGAAGAAGGAAGGCTCACTTGCCCTTGTACTCTTCGATGGTCTTCCGAATCTCCTGGAAAAAGAGCTCGTGCGTAAAGCACAGGCTCGGCACACCAGGGCTCGGACTGCCAACACCAGGGGCTGCAGCCCTTGGCCGGCGGGCTTCACGAAAGCATCCAAAACCTGCAGAGCCGATCACACGGAGCCCCATCTCAGACCCAAACCTCTCCTTATCAAAAGGGGCAGGGGCTGTGGCCGTGGCTGTGTGCTTGATGTTTGAGCTTGAGCTTATGACTTCGCGGAAGAAGTGCAGCCAGAACATGGGAGGAGCCTCCCGAATGGCTGGTGGCACATCGGCCGCAGGCTCGTTCCTCACCTCGCCAGCCATGACTCACGAGAAAGTCTGAGCGCAAACAGCTCCTTACAGTCAAGCTGATTTTTCAGCTCTACCCAGTGCCCTGGTCTTTCACAATTTCGCTGAAGGATTGACTTGGGAAGATCAAGGGCCTCGGGATCATCGCCATCGCTCGTGACCTGTCCGGCAAAGTTTTGGGGGGTTCAAAGGCTCGGTCCCCTGCCTAGAACTAAACCAGGTATCTGCTGTCTTGCTTCCAAAATCTTGCCAGTCTCACACCACAGCTCGGAGCATTCCGCTGCTTACGACTCCTTCAGTGGCTTGACAGAGACTGTCCCAAACTGTGACTGCCTGGCACTTTCGAAAGACCCGGCCAGTCACCTCAGTAAAGGCGAGCTTGCCTTTGCCGGAGGAGTTCCCAACCTGCCATCGTCAACACAAGGAGACACCATGCCGGCAGCTGGGTTTGGCCATCTTGGCCATCGAGGAACGCAAGACTGTCGTTGTCGAAGGCGCAACAAGTCCAATGCATCCGATGTTTCGCCCAACCTTAGCTTCGTACTCCACATTGAACGAGACGTCCATGAGGTGCCTCCCAGGTTCCCGACTGCATGGGCGGAAGGTGAAGTGTTGCATGAGATGCTCATGGACTTTTTCCAAGACTCGCATACCGCCTGTACAACGAATCACTCGGCGTTGCGGAAGGCCTTTGCCGCGAGAGCCAAACGTGCCCACACATGCGCGACGAGATTGATGCCATGCCTTGCGTTGACACCACTGACGCCAGTGGCACAGCTGACGCCGTTGCTGCCAGCGATCCTTTAGATTTCCAAATTCTTCCCTCCAATTGAAATTCGTGCGTGTTGATTGCACGTCTGCTTCGCCTCTGTCGGCTCACATGCTCGCTCTTCGATGGGAAGTCCCGGATTCTTGTCAGACCGAGCGGGATGGGACCATGGACCCCAAACGTCTTCTTTGATGGAGTACCCGTGATTTCAGCTTCAGACCTGTGAGCAACCACAGACTCAAAGGATGGAGCCCGGGATTGAAAGAGGCATTCCTGAACCTCGGACTCACACTGGTGCCTTGGACTGATGGGGCTGGCGACCAGTACCGTAAGACCAGAACTTGTATCAACCTTGCTCAGGGGATGGAGCCTTGAACTGATGGGATGCTCATTGCCATCACTGCATTACTTCTATCAGAGTCTCGGCTCTCCTCGGTTATCCAAGCTCGGAGCTGCACTGCTCCCTGGCTTTTACCGAATCGGATAGCGTAAGCAACGAGGATTGGCCTCGGAGTTCCTACGTCGTGTCACAGCTTGTCGCAGATCTCCTACTCAGCTTGATGCCACGCGCCTGCGAAATTTCGGCAACATGAGCTTTCTCCCGTGCATCTAAAGAAACATGATCGCTAAGGTTCCCGAAGGTGCCACCCATCCACCAGCTCTGCTGCAACGTGCCGACTCTAGCCGCACCAGGCGAGGCAAACCTCTATACAAACCTCTACAAACGCTCACCATGATGGCATGACTGTCAGCTGGTGGCCCCAACCAACTAGCAGTTGTGGTTCAGTCCGCTGCGCAGCCTCCGCTTCCCCCTGGAGACAGAGATGGAGCAGTCGCCCTTCAGATCCGCCTTGGCTCTGCAGAGCAGTTGGGAACAGCACAGCAGCTGTCGATGAAGAATGCACGTGTGCTCGCGTGCCCACGAAAAATATCCGCGGTTCCCTGGTTCCCAGCGCGAGTGAATAAAAAATGGCACTTCCTCACCCACAAAAGCAGATAATGTTACTTCTGTGATCGGAGGAAGATAGATGCGTACAATGTGACACGACAGGCAGATGCATGCTTAGGAAGTCCAAGACCGCTGCCACAGACATAGTGGAAATGTGACCTGCCAAGTCAATAAGAGCAGCAACACAAACGGGCAGCTTCTCGTGCTTGCCACCTCGCATGCAAGCACGTGGACTCAGCCCTTAAATCTTTTCGGTGTCCTCAGCACCAACGAGACATGTACGGGCTCAAGACCAACCACTAGACTTTCAACGCAAAGCACACACACACACACGCGAAGCTGCTCGCTACAACAACTGTCGATCAAACTAAAGAAGCCGGAACTAAACAGGCAGTCGCAGTCGTTAAGGCTGCTGCTGCAGAGAGCTAAGCCTTAGACGACGAAGTCTTGAACAGTACGAACTGCTCCCAAAAGGACAACGACGACACCGACGCTGCTGCTGCTGCTGCTGCTGCTGGTGCTAATACGAACTACTATACGACTACTACCTCGCCTCCTCCTGCTGCTGCTACAGCTACTGCTACTGCTACCGTACTGCTACCTCTACTGCTACTGCTACTGCTTCTGAGCTACTGCTGCTGCTGCTGCTGCGGCTCCTACTGCTGCTACTACTGCTACTGCTACTGCTACTGATACTGCTGCTACTGAGACTGCTACCTCTGCCTCTACTGCTACTACTACTGCTGCTGCTACTACAAATACAAATACAAATACAAATACAAATACAAATACAAATACGAATACAAATACAAGTACAGTACAACTGCTCCTACTACTACCACCGCCACCACCACCACCACGATCACTACTACTACAACTACTCCTTCTACTACTTCTACTATACTACTACTACTACTACTACTACTACTACTGCTGTTGCCGCTGTTGCCGCTGCTGCTGCTGCTGCTGCTGCTGCTGCCGCTGCTGCCGCTGCTGCTGCTGCTGCTGCTGCTTCTACTTGTACTGTAGTAGTAGTAGTAGTACTACTA